CACACACACACACACACACACACACACACACACACACACACACACACTCTGCAGCCCATCCTCTACACACTCAGCACAGAGAGGGATTCACTAGTTCACTACACAGGGATGTGTTTTATGGAGGACCAAGGCTGTCAATATTTAACTGAAGTCACTGAATCGAGTTGAAATTTCGTTTTTTTTATTTCAATTTTGTTTCAATTTAAATTTAAAAAATCTAATTTTACTCCGTTGCAACAACATACTTCCTGTTTACATCCCCCAAATATCCCAAATCATGGGAGCTGTAGTTCCAAAACTCTCCAAAAGAGAGGCACTTTATTTTGAAGGAAACTGTCATTTGGTATTATTTCTTTGAAAAAAAACATCCATTTAAACCAAAGAAAATATGTATTAGTTATACAATTTATAACTAGAAACTGTATTCTCCATAAATGTAGAATTGTTTGCTTGCTTGCAGACTTTTGGGATTAATTTGAAGTGCATGAAATATCGGCACCTCTGGACCTCCGTAGATTGTCTGTGCGTTTCTTTTGAGGCGTGTGCGTGTGTGTGCGTGTGTGTGTGTGTGTGTGTGTGTGTGGTAGTCAATCGGATTGATCCCCCCCCTTGTCTTCGTTCACTCAGTCCCATACTGCTGATGCACCGGCCTCCTCTGCCAGGTGGAGCTCCTTGCAGTCAGCAGAATAACTGCAGTGCACACACACACACACACACACACACACACACACACACACACACACACACAGACACACACACTTCACTTATTACCCCTTCCTGCCTGAAAGGAGGGAGGAGGATTGAGTAGGTGTGTGTGTTTACACGTCACCTATTTGTCCTCAAACATGTGGATGGTCCCCTCGTGGGCAGGTGTGAGGACACATGAGACCTAAGAAGCTGTAACAGTTTGAGTCTCCAGAGAAAACCTCTTGTGAGTCTCTCTGGAGGAAACAAAGGGTTAAATACTTCATGACTCCAGCTGTTAGTGATGTCACATGTTAAGGACATATTTAGATCATTTACTACAGTTAAAGTAACTAATACCACAATATAAAAATACTGATACATTAAAATTATTGAAATATCGTCACAACTATCGGATGGATTCTCATTATAATAAACAACAATATTGATGTTCCTCAGAGGATGAACCCGACTAACCTCTGACCTTTCCTCTAGCGCCACCATGAGGCCGACATTATAATGTGATGCCTATGCCGACATTAAATTATAAAACCTAATTTGGATTTAGGCAACAAAACTACAACAAAACTACAACAACACCACAACAACAAAACTACAGCAAAACTACAACAACAAAACCATGACAACAAAACTACGACAACAAAACCATGACAACAAAACTACAACAGAACTTTAACAATATAACTACAACAAAACTACAACAACAAAACTACAACAACATAACTACAACATA